CCCGTTCTGGTGTCAGAACGGCCCGTTCTGATTCACTGGTGGTGTTTTAATTTTGCAACGAGAACGGTCCGTTCCAGTTTCAGAACGGGCCGTTCCGGTTCCAGGTGTTTTAAAAAAAAAATTTATCCACGTGGATGCCACGTATGCATCCACGTGGCCAAAAGTTAACTCCGTTTAAATAATTTGGACGGAAGTCCCACTTTGAAACTAATTAATTAATTTGAGACTAAATTGAAACTAATTAATTAGTTTGGGACCAAATTGAGACTAAAAATTAATGAGAGACTAAATTGAAGAAAAAAAATTTATAAGAGACCAAAATAGGTTTTTAGCCTAAAACGGGAAAAGAGAATATATAAACAAACAGCTATTATAATAAAAATTAAAAAAATATAATTTCACATTATTTTTTAAATCACTTATGAAATATATTTTACACTTAATTTTTTATCGTATTTATAAGTCTTTTAGATTCCAACAATTAAATTTCATGAAATATGTGAATTTATTGTTATGAGTTTTACATATTAAATTAGTTTAAAATTAATTTAAAATTAAGTCACAAAATTTAAAAAAAAATCTTAAATAAGATTTAATTGATCTAAATATAATAGATGGAAAATTAAAATAAATATTTTTATAATAAAATATTAAAATAAATTTAAAAAATAAGATAAATAACTAAAACTATAATATAACCTAAAATTTACCCTAATTTTTTTATACATGAGAGATTAAATTAAAAATAATTTGTATAAAATAATTATTTTTAAGAATATTTTCGTGTATACATCAGGTTTTACTGTTTTACTGTCAATAAAAGTTTAATTTAACCAACGATAAAAATGTTTGATAATACTTTTGCTTTTAAAAAAGTATTTTTATTCACCGATCAATCATTGTTCATTATTGTATATTGATTTAAAATATTATTTCTTTTTTTAGGTAAAATTATTCTTATTTAAAGAATAATGAAATGGTGTATTTAAATATTAGTTTAGTATTTATAATGGTAATGATAAATAAATATTTTATAATGTAAAAGTTTGTTCCATTAAGTGCACTTTAGGAAAACAAAATCGAGGTTAAGTAATAGAATGAATTAGTATTTTTTTTTTATGTTCCATTTTTTTATAAAATAAATAATGAAACAAAATATCTGTTTTATCTCATATCACTATCTATCAACAATTAAAACATATAAGATTATAATAAGTTATTTTTATGTGGTTAAAGGATGTATCAAAGGAAGTTGTATTTATTTTTAGTTTATTTCAATATAAATTGTAAACGTTTTTGAATATTTATCAACTTAAGGTTATTTTTAGTATAAAGGCACCAAAAAAACGTCTCTAAGTGAATCTAAACATGCTTTTAGTAAATACAATTTGGCTTATGAATAGTTCATAATTATTCAAGTATTAAGACTTAAAAGGTGAGAGTTTTGTGAAGGACTTAACTAATTAAATAATTCGCAATCTTTAATAACTAGTCTATAAAATATAGACATTTGCTTAATTCAATAATTCATAGTAATCATAAAAGTAATCGTTATACTTAATAAACTTTGATAAGATAATATAGAGCATTCAAATGTTAAATTTAAAAAGTGTAAGTGTTTTATGATGAATCAATATTCCACATCTCTTTTCAAAAACTAAGCTTGAAGGAGTGAATGTTTTATGCTCGACATTTCTAATTGAACAATCAAATTACATATTCAATCAATTTTGTTGAACAAACTTTGCCTTTTGCTTGTCCAATCATTTAAATTAATTAAATTATTACTATAAATTTTATGTTAGTAATTATATATATATATATATATATATATGTATGTGTGTCGGTGTGTGTTTTACTTAACTACTTTTTACCTGTCTTTTAATCTTTGTAGTTTAAAATAGATATTTTTGGTCTACATACTTACATTTTTCCATTTGTTAGTTCTTATAGTTTAAGATAATTTTTTAGTCTTTACATTTATAATTTTGGCTAAAAACCTAATTTGGTCCCTTATAATCTTTTTTGTTTCAATTTAGTCCCTCATTAATTTTTGGTCTCAATTTGGTCCCAAACTAATTAATTAGTTTCAATTTAGTCCCAAATTAATTAATTAGTTTCAATGTGGGACTTCCGTCCAAATTATTTAAACGGAGTTAACTTTTGGCCACGTGGATGCCACGTAGATGCATACGTGGCATCCACGTGGATGAGAATTTTTTTTGAAAACACCTGGACCGGAACGGCCCGTTCTGAAACCGGAACGGGCAGTTCTGGTTGCAAAATTAAAACACCATCAGTGACGCATAACGGGCTGTTCTAAAAACAAAACGGCACGTTCTACTTTCAGAACGGGCCGTTCTGGATTCAGAACGGGCCGTTCTGGACTCAGAACGGGCCTTTCTGGATTCAGAACGGCCCGTTCCAAATTGTGTTTTTGATATTATAATTATGTAATTTTGATCTCTAAAGTTTTAATTGAGTAATTTCAGTCATTAAAAAGATTATAGTTGTGTAATTTTAATCTCACAATTTTTAATTGAACAAATTTAATCTCTTAAATATCATAATTGTTCAATTTTAGTCTTTCTCATTAAAAATTTAATAATTTAATAATTTTAATATATATATATATATAATGTTTTAAAACTATATAATTGTTTGTTTATTTAAATTAA